GAAGAACCATCTTGCCTTGGAAGCCTTGCTCAACCCATGGGAGAAGGAGGTTTTGTCCAACCCGGAGTACAACGACTTTGTGGACGACCCGATGTAGGACAATATCATTTCCAGGGCTGACGCCAACCCGCCCCCCACCGACGCCCCTGGCTCTGCTGCCGACCCTGGCAGCTCAGCGCCCGCCGTTGCTCCGACCTAGAACAACTCTTGAGCGCTCTGCGGACCCACTCCGGCGACGATCTGCAGGGCAGCGAGCGCGTTGCACGTGATGCGGGGCTCCGCGCTACTTCGCATCGGCTCTTGAATCAGGGCACGGACTCAGCACGTCATGCTCGTGATCAGATATAGGCAGGAGATCTTCCTGATCCGATGACTGACGATCTGGGATCTGGCCGCCGATCTGGCCGATCGCGCTCACCTGGTTCTTAATTGTGCTGTCCATGATCTCGGTCGATCCTTGAGCGCTGGCGTCGACGCCGGTCTGGTGCTGCAGACTCGCAGACCGCGATGCGTCGTTGCCCAAGCTGCTACCGCGATCTCCCCAACAACTTCTGCGGTGACCTCTGCCGCGCGCGCAGCGAGTCACAAACGCACGGGGGGACTGGAGCTGCTCAAATCTAGCTACTGGCGAACGTGAACACCTGGATCCGTGGCGCCATGAATCAAGATCTCGTTTGGCAGCTCATGCGCGCCGACGTTCAGGCTCGCCTGCAGGCCACCCGCTTCGACGCGGGACGACGGCAAGAGTTCCTTCGCCGACTGGCAGCCAAAGCGGAGAAATGCCACAACAAGCGGGCGGAGGCCGGTAGCCCCACCGCAGGCGCATGCCGGCTCGGCGGCGAAGATGGAGCTGATATGGAAGGTACTGTCCCGCGCCATCCATGCGCCGACGTCGCGGAGCGTTTGCAGAGGTTTCCGTCGTTCGGTGACCAGATGACTGAAGCCCAGAGACTTAAGCACGAACGGCCACTCGCGCTCGATGATATGCGCCAATGCCTGCGATGCCATCGGGGCAGCGCGCGCTCTGGCTACGCGTGGAAAAGGGCACGGGCCCCCGGCGCGCTCAGCCGCGGCCACCGCGTCGAACGTGGGCCCCATTCACCCTTCCAGCTCCCTCTGGGAGAGGGCAGGTCTCGATAAGCCGCGCCGCGCTGGCTGAGGAGCTCCGCGCGCAAGCCCCCAAAGGGGCTGCGAAAAGGCAGCGAGGGCGAGGACCCAGCTCCCACCATTGACCTTGTTCGCCTCACCCCTGCACCTCAACCCTCGCGCCGCGATGGCCTTGTCGGCTGCGCCCACGGCGGCGGCGCTGGCTGGACTGGCGGCGCTGGCTCTGCATCGAGTTCGCGGCGGCCTACCGCGCCGCCGCGGCGGCCGCCGCGCGAGACGGCGACCCGAGGCCGCAGCCGGGGTGCCGCGCGCGATTGCCGCAACGTGCATGCATGGTGGCGCCAGGACTTCCAGCATTACCAGCAGGATTCGCATCGTTACTTGTCTTGTTTCTCGCGCAAATGGATCTCGACCGTAGCGATTGCGAGTGCATGTGGTCTTTTGACAAGAACACACCCTGCACCATCATTTGATTTGATGAATATGGTAATCGCGTCTGGAGCGAGCGGCACTACGAGCCAGCGTAGATGCGCATATCGACACATGCTGTCTTGCCGCATACCACTGTCGTTCCTGAGCTATTCAATTTGAAATGGTTTTATCAGTACACTTGTTGTTATTCTGGTTTGCGTCATGATTTGCATTTTTGTGGCGTTGACATTTTGAACGGGCTGGCAGTTTAGTTTGTATTCATGACAGTCTGGCATCATGGCATGAAAGCACCCAGGCAGGTCGCCCGCCAACAATATTTTCTTGGGGCGGCGTCTGAGGACGACCGACGCGTAGCATTATCCCAACGATTATTAGTTTCACGTCGATGTCACAGTTTGGCCATCATCGCTTATTTATTGAGGCCTGGAGTGCCTCACAGCATGCACGATACATTGAAAGAGACCTGTTGCCACCACAGGTATCTTAATACGTTCGAACTTGTGCCTGGAGAGCCCCCTGTTTCACACATGTGTTGCTTTCGATCGGTTTATCGTGACAACTCCGATCCGTTGCATCCTTTTCGTTATCATTATGGGCCGTTGGAGACACCTGCATCGAAAGATGCGGCCGCGTCTCCTTGTGTTCCTTTCTTTTTCTTGCTCTCCCAGCCTCGTCACTCGCGGTTACGGGGAGTCTTCCAGGTGTGCCGAATCGTTCGGGGGGGGGGGGGGGGGGGCGCACACTGGGCCCGATAAGTCGGGTCGACTTCGTTAAGTACCCCGCGTGAGGGGGTTGGTCTGTTCCTCACCTTTCCTAGCCGATACCACCTCGTTTGGAGTTGCGGTTGGTATGACGGGTTTGTGAGTGGACGTTGCACCTCTGCTCCCGATCCCTGCCGCTGTCTCCCGTGGGCCCGTGGCCTTCGTGGAGCTGGCAGGTTTCGGGACTGCGTGTGTGTGTGTGTGTGTGTGTGTGCGAAGTCCGCTCATTTCCCCATTTTAATCTCCGCACCGCCACTGCATCGGCTCAAGCATTGGCATCGACATTGATAGCGCGCTGCCTTCCACGCGGCGCCCCGGAAAAGGGGTAGTTAACTTTTTCCTCCTTACCCTTACCAAAGGACCCTTTTGTAGGATTGGCCCTTCGGTCGTCCCCCTCAGAAGGGGGCGAACTTCCCCCCCCCCTTCCCGACAACGCCCCTTATCGAGGGTATGAATAACAGGTTCTTGCCCGCGCCCCCACTCCAGCCCCGTGGTGGGATTTGGGGCGTGAGCAGAGGCATGGGTAAAGCGTCGATCGCCTTCCCTTTTTATCCGCCTTCTGCTGACCCAGGTTTGACCAGAAGCGGCCGGCCAGGCGTCGCGCAAGGGCCCTGGCCGACCCACGTTTGTGCTGACATGGGTTAGTGCGTCCGGATATCTTTGAGCACTGCCCGTCACTTTCGGGGAAGCGCAAGCATGGACGTTATTCGAAGAGGGGGCGCATGCTTGAAAATAAAGTTTCAGGGTTCAGCCGCGCGGGAAACTTCAAGCGTATAGTTGTGCAGTGTGGGCTGCCTATTTCGAGGAAGCGCGACCATGAATTAAGGCGCGTGGATTAGTGAGGCCCCCATTTCCGTCCAGTATCGGTACGATCCGTCCCCAGATCAGGCGGTATTGACATAATTTTTCCAACAGCTTTTCCCCCCGGTTCGCGAATATGGCGCCCACGCGCAAAACATCAATCCTTAATCCCATTTAGAGCGCGCCCAAGGGGGAGGGAGGATGAGGCTTGGGGGTGAAGGGAAGGAGAAAGGGATCAGGAATGGCACGTTTGGGGTTCAACGGGCCGTCAGGACAGGAACGGGCATCCAGGTTGAGTATGCATTGTTCAGGGCCCCCTTTCCCTGGGGCCCCATGTCCCGGCCCCATCGTTGACGTGCCGCGAGGCAGAGGAGAGAAGGAAGAGATGGGGGGTTGAGGCGGAGGAGGAAATCTCCTCCTCCACTAAGGGAACGAAGAGTGAAATAAACAGACAAAGTCAAAGATCCGCGCGGATTTCTAGGATCCGCGCGGGACCCCCCTCCCTGGTGCGCGGAGCGCGCCAAGGGCGGCGCCAGAGGCGCCACCAGGGGGCCCCACCGCGGATCCCAGAAATGCGCTCGGACCTCCGAGTTGTCATGTTAATGTCATTGTTCGTTCCCTGCGGCCCCATGTCTCAGGCCCCATCCTTGACGTGCCGTGAGGAGGAAGAGGAGGAGGAGGACGAGGACGAGGACGAGGGCGCAGAGGAGGAGGAGGAGGAGGAGGAGGAGGAGTTGGTGGAGGAGGAGGAGGAGGAGGAGAAGAGGGTGGGATGAGGCGGAGGAGAAAGTCTCCTCGCCCACTAGGGGAACGGAAAATTACATAAACATAAAAACTCTGAGGTCTGTGTGGAGCCCTCGGATCCGCGCTGGACCCCCTCGGTGCCGCGCGGAGCGCGCCAGGGGTGGCGCCACCAGAGAGGCACCAGCGCCGATCCGAGAAATGTGCGCGGACCTCCTCCAAGCCGACCTTCCCCGCCCCTCCTGCCCCGTTTCCTCTCTTTCCTCCTTCCGCCCCTGCGCTTCCCCCCTCCGGCACTTCCCTCTTCTTCCTTGCCTCGTTCGTCCCTCACCTCCGCGTCGATGAGGCGGAGGTGGAAATCTCATCCTCCACGCTGCCCTTTTTGCCCTTCCTGCCCTGTTTCCTCTCTTCTTCTTCTCCTCCTCCTCTTCCTCCTCCTCCTCAACCTCCTAGTCCTTCTCCTCCTCCTCCTCCTTCTCCTCCTTCTCGTCCTCGTCCCATGACTCCTCCTCTTTCTCCTCCTCCTCCTCCTCCTCCTCCTCCTCCTCCTCCTCCTCCTCCTCATGCCCGGTTTCTCTCTTTCTGCATTTCGCGCCTGCGATTCCCCCCTTCGACACCTGCATCTCCCTGCTTCTTTCTTCCTCCCCCTTCTCCTTGCCTTCTCTTCGCCCTTCCCCCTCCCACGTCGACCCTCGACCCTCGACTACCAATGACGACTCTTACCGCGCACGTCCCTCTACAGGAGGAATATGCAAAAATAGTAAACAAGTATGGTCCGGGGACGATGTTGCCAGTATTCCCGACTAGTTTTGCATATTTTTGACGACTATCTTTAATCATTCCTCCAAAATCCGCCTGTAGGGGGACATAACCGACCTATGACTACGATGACGGCCCTTGCTGTTAGGGGGACATGCCCGACCTCACCTTCCCACGTCGAACCTCGACCCTCGACCACCGATGGCGACTCTTGCTGTCAAGTCGAGCACATATCTCTACAGGAGGAATAATCAAGAATACCTTAAAAATTGTATTGGGACGATTCTTAGCATGTTTGACTATTCTTGAGTTTTTTTTTGCCATCCTTAATTTTTCCAAAATCCGCCTGTAGGGGGACATGCCCGACCTACGACCACGATGACGGCTCCTGCTGTGCAGGCGCCCCCGCAGTGGCTGAACCTGAAGGACCCAGATGGCGCCGTGTGGGGGCCAGAGCAGGAGCCGCCCAAGGCGCCCAATGCAAGTCGTTCTTCGCCGCCGCCGCCGCCGAGGTCGTCAGGGTCGTCGTGACCATCCGTCTTCCGTCGTGCGTCGTCGTGCGTCGTCGTGCTTCGTCGTCCGTCGTCCCCGCCGTCGTCGGTATCGGTGGTCCGTAGTTTTTCCGTCGTCGTCGTCGTGGTCGTCGTCGTCGTCGCCGTTGTCCGTCATTGCCGATGCAGTGGGAGAGTAGGACAGGAGAAGGGAGTGATAGGGGACGGAGGATGGGGTAGAGGTTGGAGGAGTGAGGAGGAGAAGGAGGAGGAGGAGGAGCAGGAGGAGGAGGAGGAGGAGGAGGAGGGGGAGGAGGAGGAGGAGAAGGATGGGAGGAGATATATTGGTGGAGGTGGGAGGCGGGGAAAGTGGAGGGGATTCAGCCGTCCAGCAGGACAAGCATGCGGATGCGCATGAGAGGGAGAAGAAAGGAACACTCCTTGTTCCCCCAAAACCGTTTGCACTTAGGAGCTATCATTAGTTCCCGTGGGCGCCCCGCGCTTGGTGTGTGTGTGTGTGTGTCGAGGTTTCGGTTGGTTCCCGCCCGTCAGCGCCTCGTGGGCGCCCCGCATTTGGCATGTGTGTGTTGGTGCGTCAAAAGGGAATGTGGCCCCATGCTCGTCATCGGCTGGAACGCTCTCTGCGACTCAAGGGAAGGGCTTCACGGCGCTACCTACAACCCTGAAGGACAGAACGAAGTCTGCCAGGAATTCGTTGGCCAACTGATCGAGCAGGACTTCCACGTACGTCTCCTGTGCCGGAAACAAGTCCTCCACATCGACTGGCACGACGCCTGGGACAAGCAGATTCAGAGAATGGAGCGTCTCCACGGGAAAGGCAAAAGGCAAGGGGAAGGGACAAGATCTTACAGGGAAAGACCAACGCCGTGCCGACCCGACCTGGCCCAGCAACGAGCAGTCCAGACAGCGGCGCCCTGGGAGCCGCACGCAGCGCTTCTAACCACCTGGGTTCCCAACCCCTTGCGCGGTGCAGGGTACACTCTTTGCCTTACGACCAGGCGGGCCCCCACCGCCGCGTCAGCCTTGGTGTTCCTACACTGAGCCGCCACCTCTCCCCTCCCACCTGCCGGCCGCCCACTGCGCGGCCAAGCCGCCGCACCCTGTTTTCCCGCACTGCGAGCCTGAGTGGTGCACGTTTTGCCCAAGGCGGTCCTCCGCCCCTTTTCCGCGGGCGGCCAGGCCGACGAGGCCCCGGCACCAGATGCCCCCTTCTACCGCTGTGCTGGGATCGCCCTGCTCGCCCTCCAGAGTTGACTGCACACGTTCGGTTCCTCTCCGGGCGCCCCCCTCCTACCTTGCTCCCCTGGGCAGGGAGGCTGTGGCGAGTGTCGCTACGGTCGCTACCTCGTGCCTCCCGCCCCGCCTGTCCCATGCCCACCCTGGGCCTGGGAGCCGCACTCCCGCCAGTTTTGGCCATGTCGAGGAGCCGCGCGCCCGCGCGCCGCTCCTCCTCTCCCCCCAGGCACCCTCCCTGTCGCACGCTCACTGGCTGGCTGGTCCAACCAAGCCCCGGCTGTGTGTTCGCCCGTCCCTATGGGCTGCCCCCTTCCTTCGACGCTCTTCCCGCCACGGCCGGACCGCGCTCTGGGCTTCCCCTTCCTTTTTTCGGGGGTAGACAGAACCCCCAACAGTGACGCGTCGATTAGTGAATTGTCCGTTTTCGGTTCTCGAGAGGGCGCCGTGGCCGTGATTTTCCAGGCCTGCGCCCTTCAGGTTTTTGGGCCTCAGGTCGTTCTCACTAAACCGCGTTTTACGAAAGGGGGGTCTGTCCATCCCCGATTCCTTTTTCCCCGTCCCGCGTCCCTGCTTGGGTTCGTGGGTGCCCGGTTTCCACAGCCTCGGCCGGGCCTCCGGCACGCGGACCCACCATGGCGGCCGTTGCTTTCCCCCGCACCGGGCCCACCCTGCCCACCCCAGCAGGGGGCCCATCTATACCGTGACTGCACCTGTTCGGTGCTCGCCCTCGTGGCCCCCTCTTGACTCGGGCCGGGCGAAAGGGGGGGATTGGGAAAGGGGGGGGTACGAAATTTGCTGCATGCAGCTGGTTTCGGCCTCACCGAGGGGCCCATTCCTCGATACATCGTCGCCTCGGGCGCCGGGAGGCGCCGGGAAAATCAGCTACGTGAGCTGATTCTCAAACCCCCCCGTTGCTATCCCCCCCTTTCGCCCGACCCGATTGACGTGCCTTGCGGCTCCCACAGGGTCGTCAGCGGCTCGCACGCGCTTCTTCGGCCTGCTGGCCGCATACCTCTCCGCCCCTGGAGCCTGGGCTGGTCTTGCCGCCCGCGCCATCACCCACCCCATTTCGCCCTTTGCAGGTGGGTTTCGCTGTCCCCGCCCTTGGGGCACTGGCGCTTCTTGGGCTGTACGCAACACGTAACCTTGCCGGCTGACCTGGTCAGCATTTGCCCCCGCCGACGCTGGCCCCCCCAGCCCCGCTGCTGCTGCTGGCCCCGCAACGGTGACGGCCGCGCCACGCGCCCCTGGGAACGACCCGTTCACCTGAGCGGCCCCGGCCCCGTTCCTATTCCTCTTCGCCCGTCGTTTCGTTGTCTTCCCCTCCCCTCTTGCATGGTGGCACAATTCGCGTAATGGGCAGCCAAGTTCTGCGTCATCGCCAGCGCAGTGATCCTGCCTAGCCACCGGCGAAAAGTGTGTGTGTGTGTGCGTGTGTGCGTGTGTGTGCGTGTGTGTGTGTGTGTGCGTGTGTGTGTGTGTGTGCTCGTGTGTGTGTGTAAGTGAACATATGTGTGAGCGTGTGTGTGTGTGCGTGTGTGCGTGTGTGTGTGTGTTTGTGTGTGTGTGTGTTTGTGTGTGCGTGTGTGTCCGCGTGTGAGTGCTGTGTGGTGTGTGTGCGTGTGTGCGTCTGTGTGTTTGCGTGCGTGTTTGGGTGTGCGTGTTGTGTGATGTGTGTGTGTGTGCGTTTGTATGTGCGTGTGTGTGTGTGCATGTGTATGCGCGTGTGTGTGGGTGTGTTTGTGTGTGCGTGTGTGTGTGTGTGTGTGCGTGCGCGTGTGAGTGCTGTGTGGTGTGCGTGTGTGAGTGTGTGCGTGTGTTTTTGCGTGCGTGTTTGAGTGTGCGTGTGCGTGTGTGTGTGCGCGCGTGTGCGTGTGTGTGTGTGTGTGTACGTGTGTGCGTGTGTGTGTTTGCGTGCGTGTTTGAGTGTGCGTGTGTGCGTGTGTGTGTCTGTATGTGCGTGTGTACGTGTGTGAGTGTGTGTGTGTGTGTGCGTGTACGTGTGTGCGTGTGTGTTGTGTGATGTGTGTTGTGTGCGTGGGTGCGTGTGTGTCACGTGTGATGTGTGATTTTCTTTGCGCGTGATGTGTGATGTGAATGTGTGTGCGTTTGTGCGTGCGCGTGAACCTGAGTGTGTGCGTGTGTGTGTGTACGTGTGTGCGTGTGAGCGTGTGCTCCTACGTGTGTGTGTGTGTGTTGTGTGCGTGTGTGCGTGTGTGTGCGCATGTGTGTGAACGTGTTTGTGCCTGTGTGTGTGCGTATGCGTGTGATTGTGCTTGCGTGTGTTTGCTGCGTGATGTGTGTGTGTGTGTGTGTAATGTGTGAGCTTTGAGTGTGCGTAATGTGTGAAAGTGTGTGTGTGTGTGTGCGCGTGCGTGCGTGCGTGTGTGCGTTTGCCTGTGCGTGTGTGTGTGTGTCTGATGTGTAATGTGTGCGTGTGTAAGAGAGTGCGTGTGTGCGTGAGTGTCTGTGTGTGCGTGTGTGTGTGTGTGTGCGTGTGTGCGTGTCATTTTCTTATGTGTGTGCGTGTGTGTCTGTTTGTGTGAACGTGTGTGTGTGTGTGCGTGTGTGCATGTGCGTTTATGTCGGGACTTCGGGTGGCGCCCGCCCGTGAACGCCCCGCGGTGCCGCCTGGTGGCTAGTCCCTGAGTTCGGGGGGCGGGGGCCATGTCGGGGTTTCGGCGGATGCATATCTGTGGGTTCTTCGTGGGCTCCCCGCGCCGGAGGGGTATGCCGAGGTTTCGCTTCGATTCCTCTGGTTCGGTTCGATTCGACGGTTTCTCCTTGGAGACAGATTAGCCTGCCGATTTCCACCGATTCGATTTTTCCCGACTCGGCTGCCGTTTTCAGCCGATACGATTCTTTTTGATCGCCGGTCTTACTTATAGATTCGGTTCTGGGGGCTCCTTGTATGCCGAGGTTCTGCAAGGTTCCCACCCGTGGGCGTTTCGTTGGCGCCCCGCGCTGGGAGGGGGGGGGAGGGTTATGGCATGCAGGGGTGTTCTCGGGTGCCCGTCTGTGGGCGAGTCATGGGCGTCTCGATCGTTTGCACCACGGAGGTTGCAACACGTAGACTGCACGACATTTCATGCGCCACATAGTTTGCACCACATAGTTTGCACTTCGTAGTTGGCACCACCTGTTTATATAACCACGTATACTGCACCATGTAAGTCGCACCACGTGTATCCCTCCTGCAAGGGAAGGGAAGTCTGTACCACCATTGCACGCTCCGTGTTACTCGCCCACGTCTCTGGGTTGCAGCATGTACATGAGTATGTGTCACCTTCCCTCCTTTTCATGAAACTCAACAATCCTAGCCGTGTCCCCCGTCACCCTGGTCAGATAATGCAATGTGCGTGCCTTTGCTAACGTCAGATGACCAATCCACACGCGCGCACACTTATATTTTGAAACCATCACACCAAACACATCAGATCTCCACTCAACTCATTGGTTTACCAATGCTAAGATCGCCTGCTGCTATGTCCTCGCGCACTTTCATGGAGCATCCTGCAATCTTAGTACAATCGTCCAGATCACGCATGTCCTTCTCACAAAGCATCAAGGCATACCATTCGCGCCACTCGCGGGCGCCGCAACACGCGGGTGTCGGCGTCAGTTTCAACGATTGGTTTCCGAGGCATTCCAATCTTGAGCTATCCGAACCCACTTGAGCAGCCAAGCGCTTTCAATATACAGTCTGCCAGACTGCTGAACAGTCTGCTCGCATGCACATCCTCGTCACCTTCATCAGTGCAGCCGCGTTATCGCCGTCACCGTCATCGTCAATGCCGCCATTGCCGCCACCACCATCACAACCACCTTCATCACCGACAAACGCGTCGACATCATCATCGCCATCGTCGTCGCCAGCATCGGTGTCGTGATTTGTCCTTGTCGTCTTCATCGTTATCCTCACCGCCGTCATCGTATTTGTCATAATCGTTGCCGCCTTTGCCGACGTCATCATGATATCGCTCCCGCCAGGGTCATCGGCCCGAAGTGCCCGCGCGCTAGCGCGGCGTATGCGTCTCGCTGCAGAGCTTCCATCGGTGAGCGCAATCGCGGCCGCATCAGCTGTGCCAATCCAGCGCTCCACTGCGGCCGGCCGTAGGGATGCGCTTGCAAATTCCAGCTGGGGGTTGCCGAACAAGTTGTGAGTGGGTGTTTTTTTGCGCGAGTTTTGGCGTTGACAGCTCATTACTGGCAAAATTTATTGCGCCACGCAGCTTGCATCACATAGTTTGGCATCACATGTTCGCGCCAGGTAGCTCCCCACGTCCGCACTACAATCAGTCAGTCGTTGGGGTCCACTGGCTTACAGTCTTCTTCATGAGTACCTGGCCAGGGGGAGGAGGAAATGGAGGCGGAGGGAGGTGGAGGCGGAGGTGGTGGTAGAGCGGGAGCCGCCGCAGGCGCCGCCTCAGGCGCCGCCGCAGGCGCCAGCGCAGGCACCAGCGCAGGCGCAGGCTCCCAGGGAGGGCCGGTCTCCCCCTCTTGATCCGTCCTCGTAGGGATGGCAGTGCTCATGGGATAGCTTGCCGCCTCTTTCTGCGTTTTCTCCATCATGGCTCGTTCGAGGCGTGGCCGAAGCCATGTGGCCCTTCATAGACGTACGAATATATATATATACATATATATATATATATACACGTACGTCTGCAGATGAAGACACCAGTATACATAGAAACGGACATAGAAGTGTAAGTATACGGTTCAGTATCAGTAGGCATTCACTTATACGTATAGTTGTTCTTATACGTATACTTATACTTGTATGTTTACGATACTTATACTCATACTTATACTTATACTTGTACTTATACTTGTACTTGTGCTTAGACTTGTACTTAGACTTGTACACACAAGTGTATGTGTGCAAAGTATATATATATATGTATATATATGCAACAGCAAGAGTTTAGCGCTCTGCCGCCAGCCCCCTCCCGATCAGAGTGGAAGATATCAGAGGCGTATGGGGGTTCTGGGCGGCGTCTTGAAGACATCTGGGACGATGATGCGGGAACGGGTCGGAATCAGCACGACAGTTGAAATGTTGGGGCCGTCATTGAATACGTTGTTGCATATTTGCATCGCTCCCCGCAAAGATCTGGCGTAATGCGTGAAAGAATCTAACTTCGGGTCAGCGAACCTGGCGGAATTTACAGAGAATCTAGCCTCGGCAGCGCGAATTTGGCATAATTGCGAGGCCAGCTGGCTTCGGGAACGCGACCCTGGCTGGTTTCGGGAGCACGAATCTGGCGTACTTTTCAGCGGATTCTGGCCTCGGCAGCGCGACGTCTGGGTAAATTGCGAAAAAGGGTTCTGGCCACGGGAGCGCGAATCTTGTGTGGTCTACTACGGAATCTGGCCTCGGGGGCGCGGGCGTGCCGTTTTTTTGTTTTATGGAACGTCGCAGGGCCGTGGTAACAGTGGAGTGGTTTGGGGCTCCCCCCTCGCGCGGACAGTAGTAAACGATTTACAGCAGGAAACACAAGCTAGAACTATGACGTTGGAGACTCAACGCTGGTGCTGGTGCAGAGCAGGACATCGCCGCCACGCAGCCTGATGGCCCCGCACGGGGTCCGGCACACACGGCACACACATATATTTGTGTTGCGGTTGTGGCTTCGCGCGCAGCGACGAGGCGATGAAAGTCAAGTGCAGCGGCCGGGGCCCCACGCACGCACGCACGCACGCACGCACGCACGCACGCACGCACGCACGCACGCACGCACGCACACACACACACACACAAGACACACACACACAACACACACACGACACACACACACACACACGCACCGCACACCATACACACATACACATACACATACACGCATACACACATCGATGTGTAGATGTATATATATATATGTACACATAGAGGTGGGGGACCGGGGCCCGAAAACAGCTGCCTCGACCCTCCATGGGGGTACCGGGGTTCAGTGTCCTTGTGTTTTTACAAGGTTTCCGCGTCGTGGGCCTCGGAGGCCGCTGCCTCCGACCCCCCATGGGAGAACGGGGGGCCGCGAAATGTGCGAGGGGCGTGCCAAAAAAAAACGCGGTGGGCGCGTGCGAACGCTTGCGGTCGGGCCCTCGGCGGGGCTCCGCATGGGGCCCCGAAGCGTGCGAGGGGCGTGCCAATAGGGGCGCGGACGGCGCGCGCGACTGTTGGCATTCGAGCTTTCGGCGGGGCTTCCTATGGGGCCACAATGGCCGCGGCTGGCGCATGCGAGCGCTGGCATTTGAGTTTTCGGAGGGGCGCCCCGTAGGGCCCCAAAACGTAAGAGGGGCGTGCCAAAATGGGTGCGGTGGGCGCATGCGAACGCTTGCATGTGGGCCTGCGGTGGGGCTCCATATGGGGCCCCGAAACGTGTGCGGGGCGTGCCGCAAATAGGCGCGGTGGGCGCATGCGAGCTTTATGATTTAGGCTTGGGTGTGTGCCAACATGGACGCGGTGGGCGCATGCGAGCGCTGGCATGTAGGGCTTCGGTGGAGCTCCCTATGGAGCCGCGAAGCGAGTGGGTTTGTGCGGTGGTGGTGGTGGTGGTGGTGGCGGTGGTGTTGTGGGGGGGGGGGGGGGGGGAGTGCGGTGGGCGCGTGCGAAGGCTGGCATTTCGGCTTTCGGCGGGGCTCCTTGTGGGGCCGCGACACATTTGGGGGGTGCGCCAAAATGGGCGCGGCGGGAACGTTGCAGCGTGGACCGTCGGCGGGCCCCGCCCCATGGGGCCGCGAAGCGTGCGAGGGGCATGCCAGCGCGATTGACTGGTTCGGAGGGCAGAGGCAGGGATCGGAGGTGGAAGGAGGGAGCAGCGGGGGGGGGAGGAGGAGGAGGAGGAGGCGGAGGAGGAGGAGGAGGAGGAATGCGGGGCGTAGTCATGTCAAAACGAGGACCCAACACCCCGGGGCGGCGTGGAAAATATTTACGCCCGCGCGCACGCGCTCGCACGCGCGCACGCGCGCGCGCACCACCCACCCACCCACCCACCCACCCACCCACGCCCGCTACTTCGCGCACCCCGCGCGCTTCGCTGCCCCATAGGGGTGCCGCCGCGGGGCCGCAGGTCCCAGCGGGCGCGCTTGCATGCGCCTCCCACGCCCATGTTGGCACACCTCTCGGAGGTTGTTCGGCCGCCCAAGGGGGGCCCCTCCTGTCGGCCCCGGCGGGTGCGATTGCGCGCGCGCCCCCCCCTCCCTTCCGAGCCCATTTCGGAAAAGCCATCGCGCGCTTCGCGGCCGCGTGGGGCCCCACCGAAGGGCCGATCGCGCGCGATCACATGTCCCCCCCCTTCCCCCGCTCATTTCAGCGCGTCCATCGGCGCGATTGCGCGCGCCCCCCCTTCCCTCTCCCTTATCCGCGCGCGCGTGCCGGCGCGCCCCCTGCGCGTTTGGCGCCCCCCCAGGGGTCTCAACTTAGGGCCCCAGTGGGCGCGATTACACGCGCCCCCCCTTTCCCCCGATTCAAAAGTCGCCGCCATTCAAAAGTCGCCGCCCACCTGCGCATTCTGGCGCGCCCCCCGCGCGTTTCGCGGCGTGGAGTTCGACCGATAGCCCCGCGAGGCGCGGTCGCGCGCGCCCGCTCCCCCCCCGATCTGCCCACTCGCGCACTTCGGCGCGTCCCTCTCGCGCCCCGCGGCCTCGCGGGGAGCTCCGCCGAAGGCCTTGGCACGCGCGCGCGCGCGCGCCGCCCCCTTCCCTCTCCCCCACGCCCCCCGCCCCCGCGCGCATTGATTTCGCCGCGCCCCTCGTGGTCTGCAGGGCCCCGCGGGGAGTTCCAGCGAAGGCCCCGGCGCGTGCGCGCCCGCACCCCCCCGTTTCTCGACGCACCCCTCGCGCGTTTCGCGGCCCCGCAGGGGCTCCACCGAAGGGCCCCAACGGGCGCGATTACAGCCCCCCCCCCTCCCGAGCACGTCGCAGACACGCGCGCGCGCGTGCGCGCGCGCAGGCGCGCGCAAGCAGATTATGCGCATGCACGCGCACGCGCGCGCGCAGACGCACCGCGCCGCCCGTTTCGGCGCGCCCTTCGCGTGCTACGTGGCCCCATAGGTAGCTCTGCCGAGGGCCGCGCTGGGCGCGGTTGCACGCGCCCCCCACGCTGGCGCGCCCCACGCGCGTTCGGCGGCCCCATGCCGAGCCCAGCCCCGCCGATGGTTTCAGCGGGCGCAATGGCACGCGCGCCCCACCCCCCCCGCCCCCCGCCCGATCTGGCCCGCGCTCTTCGCGCGCTCCGCGGCCCCAAAGGGCTCCGCCGATGGCCCCAGCGGGCGCGATCACTTGCGCCCCCCCGCTCCTCTCGGCGCGCCCCTCGCGCGCTTGGCGGCCCCATGGGGGGCTTCGCCAGGGGCCCCAGCGGGCGCGACTGCGCGCGCCCCCGTGCACTAAGGAGTTCCACCGAAGGTCCTAGCGGGCGCGATCACGCGCGCCCCCCGCCCCGCGCCGATTTCGGCGCGCCCCTCGCGCGCTTCGCGAATCCATTATGGGGCCCCGACGAAGGCCCCAGCGGGCGCGATTGCATGCGCGCGCCCCCCCCCCCCGCGCGCGCGCATTCTGGCGCGCCCCGTGCGCGGTTCGCCTCCCTGCGCGGGGTGGCCCGCCGAAAGCCGCGGCGGGCGAGCTCGAATGCGCTCGCCTCGTTCATTACGCAGCGCCCCCCACGTGCTTCGAGGCCCCAAGCGGAGCCCCACCGAAGGACGGCCCTGGCGGCGGCGGTGCCCGCGCGCGCCCGCGCCACCCACGTCGGCGCATCTCTCGCTCGTTTCGCGGCCCCGTAGGGTGCCCCGCCGAAGACTCCAGCGGCGCCGCTCGCACGTGTCCGCGCCGCCCATTTCGGCACGCTCCTCGCGCGCTTCGCGGCCCCATAGGGAGCTCTGCTGGAGGTCCCAGCGGCGCCGCCCGCAGATGATGTTTACCACCGCGAGACTTGCAACTGCATATGGCTGGGTCTTTCGCCAGGCTAATTTTTCCTTGCTGCGAAATTTGGATCGACTGCCCCCCGGGGTGCATCTCCACCCCGCGCGATAGTGCAGGTTGCATGCGGGTCTGCTCCATCGGGCGCCCTACTCGCGAACTCGCGCCACCCCAGATCGACCGCTCATCGCCCCCCTCGCCCCTTCCAACCATGATTACGCGCGCGCCTGTTTGCCGACAATCAACAGTTTCCAAGAACCCATTGCTCGCGGAAGGTGCGGCAATATCAACGCGCGCGCGCCGTCACGCGCTTGCAAGACAAATGCCGAGCCACCGTGGCAGCGGTTTCCGCGCGGGTTTCAAGAGCGAGCCCCCGATGACATGTCAAAAACTAATATGTTGCGTGCAGCGTGGTTTTCTTTATAGACATGGCCCCTGATCTTGATAGTTCCTGCGAGACCCGCGCGCGTCTCCAGGGCGTGACCGAGCGGGCCTCTCCGCGCGCCGCGTCTCAATTATTCGGGCCGCCCGCGCGCGTCGGCCGCGCGCGCGCTCCAAGGCCTCCCGGCGCCGTAGTCGCCGACGCGCGGGCGCCATCGCCGTCGCCGGCGCGGTCAGCATCGGCGCCGCAGCGTCGCTGCAATCATCCATGTGTCTGCATTTGCCGGCGTCGCCGCAATTGCGCGCCCGCCCGAGTCGCCCCCCCGCGCTTGAGCGCCCGCGCGATGTCGCGGCCTGCGAGGCGCGCCTGCGCCAGCGGCCAGCGCCCCCGCGGCCGCGTCGGTCGCCCAGGACTAGCTGGCCGCGCTGCGCGCGAGGGTTCGCGCGCCAGCGCGGCCGCGGCGCCGCCGCGGCCAGGGTTCCGCGGGAACGGATTTATCACAACCCGCAAATGTTATTCGTCCGCGAAATGCATCGACCGACGAATGAACGCGTTTCGGGGCTGTCACATGTCCCCTGGCCCGCCTCCGACGGGAGCGTCAGGGCGATGTTTCGCGTCATCGTTGCGTGTTTTGTTTGCGTCGCATCTAGTTTGCCCTTTTACGTGCCATATTTTGATTGGCTTCTCTCGTCGCGGATCCCCGACCATCCGGCGCGGCTGCCGGCGCGAGTATTGGCGAAGCGATTTCTGTTTGTTTGTTATCTGGATGCTTCTTGGACCTCTGATCGATGGAATTGCGTTCGGGGGGATGCGCGTGCCAGCGACGCGCCAGCCAGCGCCGAGCAGTCATCGCAATCGCAGCCGCCTGGGATTTACCGACCAACTTTGGCGGGTGGGATAATTTCGCTGGCGCGGGCCGCGGAATTGTCAACTCGCGTGCGAGCATCTGTGAATTGCGCCACATAGATTGCATTGCATCGGTTGCCCCACACATTTCGTTCAACAAAGGCGGCGCATCGCAGATCGCACAACTTAGATGACGCAACCTGCAGTTCACTGCGTTGAGTCTTTCCTTCGAAAAGACATGAGGATCGACAGACCTCTCACCTCCTAAGTTAATCGGCCCCCTCGTGGGATTGTACAATTCGAGCGTGATGCTGCCCCGGTTTTGATTTTCGATGCGAATTCGTCCCATCCCTCCCCCCCCCGCTCATCTCTGCCAAAGAACCTCATGCGCACACGTTTGCTTATCGCAAATCATCTGCGTGCATGAATTTTGCGAAACAGATGACAGGCCGACGCGCTGGAGTCGTCGCGCGCGTGTTGGACTTCGTCAAATACCGTCGTATTCGCAATGTTTCCAAAAACGCGTTTCTCTGAAACCTACAACGCAGTAGTTTGCATCCTGAATGTTCCCCAAAAGTATACGCGCGTGCTCTTTGCAAGTTGATAGGACAGGCACAGCTGTTTCAACAATTTCACCACATGCGACCAAGCGGGCTCTCGCGCGCGCGCGAGGAAAGTAGAGGAGATCCTTCGCACGGTTTTTGGGGAGCACGACCCTTGTAAGATCGTTTATACTGCAGACTACTCGCCCGCGTCGGCCGTTCGCACGTCTTCAAATACATCATCATCGTCATCTGCATAATCAGCTTCCGTGCCGTCGTTTGCCTTGCCTTCGTCATCGTCATCATCGTCACCGGCACCGCTACTTTCACCATCGTGATTGCCATTGTCAACGTCGCCATGCTACCGCGCCCACCCAAGTCACCGTCTCGCAGTGAGGTGCCCCTGCGTCTGCGCGGTTTACGAAACGCATTGAGGATTCCCCAGCGGCCACCCCGGCTGCGCCACGCTTGCTGGCCGCTGTGGGCGTGGACCTACGTGCGCCAGCGCGATCGCAGCAATGTCCCACCGAGCGCAAAGCAGTCATCGCAGTCGCCGCCGCATGGGGTCAGCTGGCCAACTTGCGGGTGGGTTTGTTGGAAATTTTCGCGAGCAGTGGGTTTGTCAGCCACAGCGCTTGCAAGTTTCATTGCGTCGCGTGTATACAACATCAACGCGTTTTGAAACACAGTGCTTGGGGTACACGCTGGCACGCATATACATGCATCTGATGTATATGGATATGGATATGTATGTCGGAGTATACGTACACAAATGCGAATGCATGGGATTTTGCGCAAGCCTATGTATACGCATATGTGTATGCGTCTATAAACGTATATGTTGATGTCGAATTTCTAATTTCATATGTGTTTACTTATATATCTATATACATATATATATATATGTATATATGTATATACATACAAATGGTGTGCACGCAACCGACGCAGACGATCTGAGCTGAGCACGGTCAATGTTGATCCCATGGTGCCACCGTATCTGGATTCAGATGTTTCCCGATACGATCCAACGCGAGCCTGGCCCCTTCTGGCCCGCAGGGGCTGAGCCCGAGTAGCGGCCAGTGGTCCCGACCGATTCGGTTCCGATCCGATTCCGCAGCGATTCAGGCACGATCCGACCCATTGCCGATCCGATCCGGTTTTGCGATCCGAGTTGTTTGAAGGATGTGGCGTGTGGTCGCACATTTGCATGGGGTCAGGCTGTCCAAGTTTCACTGATGGCAACCCCATACCGAGTGGCGGGGTCGACCACAACAGCGCACTCATAGACCCAAGGGTTCGTAGGACACCGACTCTCCTTTGCACGCTCAAAGCACAGACTGGGCGTAAGGCTGGGAGGGGAGGGGAAGGAGGCCAGCCCCCGTTTCCCAAGATGGCGGCGGGGCATAACCACAGCGCGCATCCTGTGCCGCGCCCGAGGCAGACCCAGGATCAGGACAAATCGCTGCAAAACGTGAATGAGCGAGGGAGGATTACCCCCACCTCTCCGCGTTGTGAAACAGATCGCGACGGACATGTCTTTGCGGTTTTCACCTTCTGGGGGTCCTTACCGCGCCCTTGGACAGTCAAAGAACCATTCTGGATTAAACACTGGCCTCGTGGGAATGGTCGGGGCCCCCGTGGATATCGTATTGAAATAACACAGTACATCGGATATGGGAGGTATTGATCCTCGGGCGTCTCGCGTGGGCGTCGCACGTGTCGGTCCCCTCCTCGGCCCCGTGCTCTCGCTCGTGATTCCTGATGATGTGGGCTGCACTCCGTCCTCTCTTGCTTGGGGTGCAAGAGGGCCGACCCCTTCCCCGGTCCCAGTTTTTTGTCTCTGAATTGTTTTTGATTGTTTCAGGTGCGGTGACGGGCCTTGGAGGCCGAAAATCGAAAAAGAACGCCCGGATTGAAATAAGCATGCCGCTTGAGATCTGGGCTTTCTGTCGCTTCCGCCAGCCGCCGGCGACCCCCACACACCAGGATTTGGATACCAACAATATGATACAAAAAGTTGCAAACCATGTCCAACAACAGATGTTGTCCAAAACCGACAGCGACCGCTGTTGGGCAGGCGGCTCTTCGTCTTCAAGGAAAAAGGTCCGCGGCGGTTTGGACAGCGCGTCCTGATAGAACTCTGCAGGAACTGCTGAACTGCATAACCGTTCTTTCCGCACCCATTTCGGTCGTCCCGACAGCACAGCCATGCCCGAGCGCCGCCCGAGGAGAACGTGCAGTGCGCGCCGGCCTGGGCGGTGCGCCCCGCTCTGCCGCCGCCGCCACGGCCGACGCGCCAGCCGCCGCCCTGCGTGGCCGCAGCACCGCCGCTGGCGGTCGCCGCCGCAGTGGCCGTGGCCGTAGCGCTCCCCGCCGGAGTCGTCGTCGCTGCCGTGGCTTCGGGGCTCGAGAGGCGGGGGTCAGACTGGGTCATTGCAAACCGGACTGGGGTCAGTCAGAGCGCCAGATCTTGCAGGATGTTGCAGGGCCAGGGGTGCACTGACCCGGGGTTGGGCGCAGGATCTTGCAGGAGCCTGCACGATCCTGCAAGGCCTGACTGACCCGGGTTTGGGTTGGCTCAGGTCAGTAGATCCCCGAGTGGCTCGTCGTCACCGTGGCCGCTTTCGGCGTCCGCGGTCGCCGTTTGTTGTTCGTCGTTCTCGCCGTCGTTGCCGCTGGTCTCGTCCACGCCGTCGCCGTTCGTCGTCGCTGCTCTTGTCCTTGCCGTTGTTGCCGTCGTCGTCGCCGTCGTCGAAGGCGTGATAGCCTTCGACTTGGTCGTGGTGCGGTCGTGGTCGTCGTCGTCGTCGTCGTCGTGGGGACGGGGAGGGCGGATGAGTGGGAGGCGGGCCCGAGCGACGGAGAGCGTGGCCGAATCAACGAGCACGCAGCAGCTCGTAAGCATGAGGCTGCGCCGCTGCTGGTGTGAGGCACGTCGATGCCACACAGGCTGCGAATCCGCAACGAAGTCCCCCGAATGAGTTCGCACACCCTGGGAACTTCACCACGACGGCGACGACCACGACCACAAAGCCGACGACGATGACGACCACAACCGCGGCCAAAGACCATGGCGACGGCGACGACGACGGCGGCAACCACGGCGACGACGACGACGACGACACGCAGCGACGACCACCATGTCCTCGGCGCGCCCCCGCCAGGCGACTCGGAACGCGCCCGGGGCCCCGACGAGGGCCCGGCAGTTGTACGACTACAGCACCCGCGAGGTGTGGTACGCGAGCAACGTCCCGGTTCGCCCTGGCGGCGGGGTTCAGCTCCATTCCAGGCATATTCCTAAAGTGGGCCGAAGTAGATGGGGTCGGAGGACCGCGCCGCATCGCCGAAGCATCTTCGATACGGTTCGATGACGTGGAGCCGGATTTTCTCCATGCCGACGGTGCCGATGCGTGTCCGATGGTGTCCGATTGCATCGGCGATGCATCGGCCATGCGGCGCGATCTTCCGACCCAGTCTGCTCGGACCGCATCTGGGGGGCCTCCAGTCTTGGCCCCATCCTCTAAGACCGAGGCTCAGAGGAAGGAGGGTCTCGTTGTCGCTTGTGTGGGGCCTCCTGGAAGGTCCTCGTCGCCGCGGCCGCATTCGCCTCAGAATCCGAGTCAGAAAGCACCCTGGGATAGGTGGAGGGAGTGGCGGTGTCGGTACCTTCGAGAGTTTCCCAGGTACGGCCAATTTCGCAGCAATTCGCGGCGTGGCTTCTGGCTCCATTGAGACTCGGGGGGGGCCCACACGGTGCGGTGACCACACCGTGTGGTGAGTCGGAAGGGATTCCCGGGTGCCCAATATTTTCCCCCAGGGCCATCAAACACGGATCCAGGACAAAAGCATCGCCCCCGGGAAAAGATGGGGAAAACATTTGATCGTCGGATGTCTGGGGGAGCAACAAGCCTGGGGGCCTCCACCTCCTCGCGTCGTGAGATCACGCTGGGCGATTTGTCGTTGGTGTTGGTTTCTTGAGGAACTTACCAGGCCATGAGACCGTCTACACTCCATTCAGGATGAAAAGCTGGTCCACGGAGAGGGGGCAACAAACCCATACATCCGAAGATGCGATGATTGTCGACCTGGGCGTTTTCCGGGAAGGGGTTGTGACCTCTGGGGCTGCGCATGACCAAAATCACATCGTCGGAGATTGGGGAACGTGGGGGATCGAGAATTGTAGGAAAGGGATTTCTGAAAGGGACCCAGTTGGCTCTCAAATTACCCCTGGCGGGCCCAGAAGGTGTATGAAGGGTGCACGTTCCTGCACCCACCCTTCTCCTCCTCCCTCCTTCCCCCCCCCCCTCCACCTTCCCTCCTTCCCCCCTCCCTCCGTCCTCTTGGCCTTTCGATGTCCATGCTTCCCTCCCCTCCCCTTCCGTCGTTGCTCCCCTCGATTTCCCTACTCCCCTCCCCCTCCCCTTCCGTCGTTGCTCCCTTCGATTGCTGTACTTCCCTCCCCTCCCCTTCCCCCCCCCCCCTTCCGTCGTTGCTCCTCCCCTCCCTCCCCTCCGCGCGCGCGCGGCAGAGATGCGCCCGCGCCGTGGCGCCCGACCACGCCCCCACTCGCCGGCTCTCGGAGACTCCCGTTCTAAGGTTCGTCTGGATTCAGGGGCAACGACAGGGGGGGACTGGCATACACCTTAGGCGATGCTTAAGAAAACTTAAGTTTTCGGCCATAGTCTCGATTATTTTCAACGTTTCAGTGTAAATCTTAAGATTGTAATAGAAATGTTGGGTTTTTATTCAAGCTCTGAGACTATGAATTTCTTAACCCATGATTTCTTAAGCATTTCGCAGGGTGTATGGGGGGGATGTATCGACACGCCATCGCCCATTGATCGCCAATAGGGGCCCCATAGCCCCAACCCGCCCAGGAAGGTGCGGATTCGCTTTCGAGTGCCTATCGCCGATCAATCGGCGACGTATCGCCGATTCCAGGTCGATGCATGCCCCCCTATGCCAGTCCACCCCTATCGTTGTCCCTCACGTCTGGACGCTGTCGTCACCTTACTTTCGTCTTAGGTGAGGGGCAGAGAAGGAAAAGGTACCCATACCTCTACACTTCGCCCGTTTTCCCCTTTGGGGGCCTCTTGGGAGGCCCTCGTCGCCACGGTTGGATTCGCCTCGAAATTCTGGTCGGAACGCACCCTGGGCGAGGTCCGGGGAGTAGCGGTATCGGTCCCCCGCCACGCCGGGGACCGTGCGGTTTTGCTATCGGGGGCACACTCCCCACCTATCGGCGATGTGTCGCCGAGTCCTGGTCGATGTTTCCCCCCCCCCCCCCCTATCGTTGCCCCTGATGAGGGGGGTCGCCAGGAGTGGGGCACACCTCCTCCTGGAGATCGAGGAGGAGGGATGGACGACGACCGAGGGGCCTGGACGTCTCCAGGGCGTCTTCGGGAGTTCTGGGAGGCCTTGGGGGTCCAGGGAGGAGGTGGCGACCTCCTCCTCCTCCTCCTCCTCCTCCTCCTCCCCCTCCTCCTCCCCCTCCTCCTCCTCCTCCTCCTGCTCCTCCTCCTCGTCCTCCTCCTCCTCCCTCTCCTCCTCCTCCTCCTCCTCCTCCTCCTCCTCCCCCCTGTCTGATTGTTGGAGAAGCGCAAGTTGAGACAACCGCGGCTCCCCACCCTTGGCCCCTCATCGGGGCGGCGATACGGATTCCTTCTTCTCTTCGGCTGCCGCTGCTCCGAGGTTGCCCCTGCAGACAGGCGGCTGTGCCCTGGAGTTTTCGGAGCCCCGACGCTCACATGCCGGCTTTCTGCCATGGGGGGGGGGCTTAGCGACGAATCCCCATCCTGGGCCTGCCGAATTTTGTGCCCCGCCCAAGGTGTGAGAGGATGGACTCAAACCCACAGAGGGACCCAGGAGGGGGTCGACCCGAGCGACGGCCACGTGGAAGGCCCGAGGGACGGAGGAGAGGGGGGGCGGGTAATCTCTCCCATGCTCAGTGCCTGGAGAAAAACATACTGCGCAAATCTACGTTTTCGCAGGTCCGTGCGGATCCCTTGGAGCGCCGCAGCAAGCACCGCTCCACGAGATCCGCGTGCGCATCCGAAAGTTCTTCTTAGTCAGTTGTTCCTGCTTCCACTGATGCACGATGGCTATTCTCGCAATGTTTGCCACGAAGGCGCATCACCTGGTCTCATCGTGCGACAGGCTGAGACAGACGGAGATGCCACCGTGGCGTCCGCTCCAACTATAAGCAGCTGATACTTTTTTATTTTGGCCGACCGGGGGGGGGTCTCTGACGGGCGCAACCGCGAGGTGCCCGAGCAGAACCAGGGCGTCGTTATCACGGCGGAATTCCCCACGCACCCGTCGCAGGAGTGCTATTGGAAGGACCTCGGCGGCCGTGTTTCCCTGCGAAGCTCGGCGCAAGCTGGGCCAGAAGGTGACAGCAGCTGCGGCACTGGCGGGCGCTTCCGCATATTCGTACGTGAGGGTCGTAGGCGTAGTCTAGCCCCACCTATACAAGGGCGTATGCCTAACTACAGTACTATGTATGTATGCGTGTATGTGCTGTATGTGCACGGTGCATGTAATGTATACGTGTATGTAGTGTATGCAGTCTGTATGTAACGCATGCATGTATGTATACGTGTATGTAGTGTATGCACAGTGAATGTACACGTTTGCATGTAATGTATGTATGTCTATATGCATGCATGCATGTATGCATACATGCATTCATGCATGCGCATAGGTGTGTGTACATGCGTGTGGCTGTGTGTATGCATGTATGTATGCATGCATGTATGTACGGATGGCATGTATGGTATGTATGTAGGTGCGTAGGTATGTATGTATGTAGGTTGGTTGGTTAGTAGGTAGACGTGTGTGTCTATACATATATCTATACATAGATATGCATGTATGCTTGGTTGCATGTGTGCACGTATGAATGCGTATGTGCATGTATGTATGTATGTATGCATGCATGCATGCATGTATGTATGTATGTATGCATGTATGTATGTGTGTATGTTTGTATGAGTGCATGCGTGGATGTGTGTACGTGTGTATGCATGCAGGTCCGTGTGTGTGGATGTATGGATGCATGTGTGTATGCATGCATGCATGCATGCATGATTGCATGGTAACATGTATCTGTGGATGTATACATGTCTCTGTGTATGCATGCATGAATGTATGTACGTACGTACAAGTATATGTGTGTATGTATGTATGTATGCATGCATGCATGTAAGTATGTGTGTATGTGTGTATGTATTCATGTAAGCATGTATGCATGTATGTTTGTTTGTGTTGGTTGTTTGGTTGTTTGTACGTGGTATGCATATACATTCATGTATGTATGCATGCATGTATGTACGGATGGCATGTATGGTATGTATGTAGGTGCGTAGGTATGTATGTATGTAGGTTGGTTGGTTAGTAGGTAGACGTGTGTGTCTATACATATATCTATACATAGATATGCATGTATGCTTGGTTGCATGTGTGCACGTATGAATGCGTATGTGCATGTATGTATGTATGCATGCATGCATGCATGTATGTATGTATGTATGCATGTATGTATGTGTGTATGTTTGTATGAGTGCATGCGTGGATGTGTGTACGTGTGTATGCATGCAGGTCCGTGTGTGTGGATGTATGGATGCATGTGTGTATGCATGCATGCATGCATGCATGATTGCATGGTAACATGTATCTGTGGATGTATACATGTCTCTGTGTATGCATGCATGAATGTATGTACGTACGTACAAGTATATGTGTGTATGTATGTATGTATGCATGCATGCATGTAAGTATGTGTGTATGTGTGTATGTATTCATGTAAGCATGTATGCATGTATGTTTGTTTGTGTTGGTTGTTTGGTTGTTTGTACGTGGTATGCATATACATTCATGTATATATGCCGATATGTATGCATGCCTCCATGCATGCATGCCTGCCTATGTGGATGCATGCCTCCATGCATGCATGCATGTATATGCGTTCCTAGTTATATATGTGTGTGTGTGTTCTTGATCGGTGATGCTTCTCACTGTCCCTCTCTGCATGTAAATAGTTACACAGCTGTTTGTATATCCAGCAGCCTACGGCAAGCGCGCTGGGCATATGCCCGATGTATCGACGATGTACCGTTTTATTACAGGTCTATGCTTCCCCCCTATGCCAGTCCTTCCTTATCGTTGCCTTTCAGAAGGCTCAGGATTTCGGGGGGGGGGGTCTGAGAGGCCGCGCCGTCGCTGGAGAGGCCTGCCCCCACCTGGTGGCCTTTGGGTCACAACTCGGCTCCGAGGGGCGTTCGGACGATCCCCGGAACGCTCTCAGCGAAGCGCAGCCGCTGGAACGCAGCCCGAGGTTTGAAAACCGCCGAGACGAAAACGCTCGAAAATCTCGGGCCTCGAGCGTCGGACCTCCCCCTCGGCGCGCCGCCGATATCCTCACTCTGCAGCAGCGGGCCGCCGTCGGAGACTCGCGCAGCCTCGCCGCCGACAGGACGGAGGTCGCATGATCTGCTACACCGATCAGGCCAGGGTGGGTTGGGGGCGCGCTTCGCAGGGGAGAGGAGGAGGAGGAGGAGGAGGTTCCAAGAGGCGGGCACGGAGGACGAGGAGGAGGAGGACGAGGAGGAGGGGGAGGAGGAGGGATGAGGGAAGGAAGGAGCAAGAGGAGGGAGGCGGAAGAGGAGGGAGAAGGAGGAGGCGGAGGAGGAGGACAGAGGCTCAGGAGGATGGAGGGATGAGCAGGCAGGAAGGTTGGAGAGGAGAAGGGGTTAGAGGATGAGGATGGGAGGAAAGAGCAGGAGGAGGAAGGTACGAAAGAATGGACATACGGAGCACTGCCCGCCCTGACATCTCAGTCCTGCTCATCTCCCTTCACCCCTTTTGCATTGCCATCCTTTTTCTTGTTGTCTACCTCTATCTCTCTCTCTCTCTCTCTTTCTTTCCCTCTCTTTCTCATTCCCAACCATCCTGTGGTGTTGTGCCCTCGTTTTGAAGATACATCGCCCCACGTCCCTCTCCTCTCCTCTCCTCTCCTCTCCTCTCCCGCTCCTCCTCTTCCCCCTCCTCCTCCTCCTCTTCCTCCTCCTCCTCCTCCTCCTCCTCTCCCTCCTCCTCCTCCTCCTCCTCCTCCTCCTCCTCCTCCTCCTCCTCCCGCTCCTCCTGCTCCTCCTTCCTCCCATCCTGCATCTGCCCTCCGCACCAGTTAACCATGTCGGCACACCCCTCACACGTTGCGTGGCCCCAGAAGGAGCTCCGCCGAAGGCCCCGGTAGCGCAACCCGCATACGTCCCAGCCACTGATTTCGGCGCACCACTCACACGGTTGGTGGCCCCGTAGGGAGCTCCCCCGAAGGCGTGGAGCCGCCGGCATGCGTCCCAGCAAGTCATGTCGGCACATCCCTCACACGTTTCGTGGCCCCATGGGGAGCTCTTTTGAAGGCCCCACTTGCGCAGCCCGCATGCGTCCGCTCAACCCCTTTCGGCACACCCCTCACACGTTTCGTGGCGTCATGGGCAGCTCGACCGAAGGCCCCAGTTGCGCAGCCCGCATGCGTCTCATCCACACATTTAGGCACACCCCTCACACGTTTCGTCGCCCCATCGGGAATCTCACCAACGGTCCCAATGGCGCAGCCCGCATGCGTCCCAGCTTGACATGTCGGCACACCCTTCACACGCTTCGTGGCCCCATCGGGAGCTCCTCCGAACGCCCCTGCGGCGCAGCCCGCATGCGCCCCAACCATTCATGTCGGCACACCCCGTGTCGTGGCCCCATGGGGAGCTCCACAGAAGGTCGCAGGACGCGCAGCCCGCATGCGTCCCAGCCACACATGTCGGCACACCCCTCGCACGCTTCGTGGCCCCATAGGGAGATCCACCGAAGGCCCCAGTGGCGCAGCCCGCATGCGTCCGCGCCACCCATTTCGGTACATACCTCACACGATTCGTGGGCACCATAGGGAGCCCCACCGACGGCCCCAGTGGCGCAACCCGCATGCGTCCCAGCCACACATGTCGGCATATCCCTCACACGTTTCGTGGCCCCAGAGGGAATTCCACCGAAGGCCCCAGCGGCGCAGCCCGCATGCGTCCCAGCCACACATTTCGGCACACCCCTCACACACTTCGTCGCCCCGTAGGGAGCCCTGCCGAAGGCCCTTAGCAGGGTTTACGTGGGTCCGCGCGACCTTTTTCGGCAACCCCCTCACACGTTTCGCGTCCCTAGAGGGGGCTCCACCGAAGGCCCCAGCGGCAAGGCTGACGTGCGTCCGCGCGACACATTTCGACATACCCCTCACACACTTCGTGGTATCATGGGGACCTCCACCGAAGGCCCTAGTGGCAGGGTCTACATTCGTCCGCGCCACCCATTCCGGCACACCCTTCGTGACCTCATCGGGAGCCTCATCGGGAGCCCAACCGAATGCCTCAGCGGCAGGGCTTACGCGCGTCCGCGCTGCTCATTTCGTCACTCTTCTCGCACGCTTCGTGGCCCCATAGGGAGCCCCACCGAAGGCCCCACTTGCAGGGTTTACATGCGCCCGCTCGGCCCATGGCGGCACAGCCCTCACACGCTTTCGTGTCCCCATATGCAGTCCCACCGCAGGCCCCAGTGGCAAGGATGACATGCGCCCGCGCGACCAATTTCGACACACATCTCGTACGTTTACTGGTCCCAGAGGAAGCTCTACCGAATGCACCCGTGTAAGGGTTTACATGCGTCCGCGCGGCCCATTTCGGCACACACCCCACACGTTTCGTGGCCCCAAAGGGAGCTCCACCGAATGCCCCATTGGCAGGGTCTACATGCGTCCGCACGGCCCATGCCGGCACACCCCTCACACGTTTCGTGGACCCATACGGAGCTCCATCAAATGCCCTAGTGGCTAGGGTCACATGTGCCCGCGCGACCCATCTCGGCACGCCAGTCACACGTTTTATGGCCCCATGGAGAGCTCCACCAGATGCCCCAACGACAGGATTTACATGCGTTCGCGCGACTCATGTCTACACAGCCCTCACACCCGCGAAGCCAATTTCGACACACCCCTCGCACGTTTCGTGGACCCAGAGGGAGTTTCATCGAAGGCCCCAATGGTACCGTTCGCATGCGTCCGTGCGGTCCATTTTTGCCCGCCCCGCACATTGTGGCACCGTTCACATGCGTCCGCGCCACCCATTTCGGCACAGCCCTCACCCGTCACACGTTTCGTGGGCCCCATATTGAGCCCCACCGAAGGCCCCAGTAGCGCAGTTTACATGCGCCCGCGCGGCCCATCTCGGCACAGCCCTCACACCTTTACTGGCCCCATTGGGAGCTTCACCCAAGACCCCACTGGCAGGGTTCACGCGCGCCCGCACGACACATTCCAGCACACCCATCACACGTTTCATGGCCCTGTTTGGCATTCCACTCAAGGCCCCAGTGGCACGGTTTGCATGCGTCCGCGCAATCAATTTCGCCACACTTCTCCCGCGTTTCGTGGCCCCATAGGGACCTCCACCGAATGCCCCAGTTGCATCGTTCGCGTGCGTCCGCGCCACCCATTCCGGCACATCCCTCACACGTTTCGTGGCCCCATAGGGAGCTACACCCAATGCCCCAGTGGCGGTGTCCACCTGCGTTCCACCTTTTCATTTTTTGCACACCCTCACACATTTCGTGTCCCCATGGGGGGCGCCACCGAAGATGATACTACAACGGTGGTGTTCGCAGCTGCATGCGGTTGGGTGCTTGGCCAGGCTTATCTTCTGTTTTGGGGGGTCCCGCGCCCACCCGAGAATCCCGCATGGACCTCCGAATTTGGTTGTGCTCGTATCGTTTCTTGTTGTTTCAGCTCCTCCCGCTCTCGCTCCCGCTTGCCTGGGGCTCGGGGGCTCGGGCCGCTTCGCCCTCCGTGCACGGCAGGTCCGCGTCGGGCCGACGCGGCTGCGACCCCGCCGCAGGCACCGAAGGTTGGGCGCTGCCGGTGTCCCTTCCGCATGGAGCGATCTGGCGATCGAGAAGCCGCCAGTCGCTCCTCCTCCTCCTCCTCCTCCTCCTCCTCCTCGTCGTGCGTTTCTGCGATTCGCGATCCACGAGCGGCGTACCTCCGAACGCCGAAGCGCCCGATCCTCCTCCTCCTCCTCGTCGTGCGTTTCTGCGGTTCGCGATCCACGAGCGGCGTACTTCCGAACGCCGAAGCGCCCGACCGCCGCGGGCGCGGCGGGGCGCGCCCGGGTGTCACTACCCACGCGGTGTCCCGACACCCCCAAGATTGGAGCGGTCAGGTGGAATTTGGCGTCTGGGTTGTTCGCACAGTTGTAGAGATAGTGTAGCAGTGATGCGTCCACGAGCGCGCACGAGCCCGCCCGTGCGGGATAACGACGCATCAGTTGTGCGTCGAATGTGGACAGCATGTGTTCCGTGTGTCCACGTTGTTTCATGCTCGGATTGCTTTGCTGCGGGTTGGGGCCGAAAGGCGCGCCGTTCGCAAGGGCACGTTGTGATTGGCTTCATTGTCGCAGCGCCTCGGCAGGGACACATTTACGCAGCGCGCGATTACCTACTCAATACAACATGTATTGCTACACCATCTTTGCATACTCCGCTCTTGTTGTCCGCTTTCCTGCCCGAGTGTGGTGCCATGGTGCGTCCGTTTTTCACAGCGCTGGCGCTTTCCCAGCAGCACGTCCCGTCGCCAGTGTCTATCACTCGCTCACTTGTTGCTGGGCCTGGGTCGTGCGCTCAATCATCTTGGCCAGTGCGTTGCAGTGTTTTGGGCGCGATCAGTCGAGTATGATCTCGGCGGTGTCGCGTGTTTCGATCTGGATTTGATGCTCTTTCTGATGCGCTCTGTTGGTTTCTTTGAACCCCCCCTGACGCGTCGAAAGCATTGCGGGAGGCTTTGAACATCTGTTTGGACCCCTTTCGCACGGCAGTGAGCATCGCCGATGCATCGGCGATGCATCGGCCATGCGGCTCGATGTGGAGCCCGATTTTCTCCACGCCGACGTCGCCGATGCATCGCCGACATCGCCGATGCATCGCCAACGTATCGCCGATGCGTCGCCGATGCATCGGCGATGCATTGGCGATGCGGCGCGATCCTCCGACCCCATCTACTCGGACCCCATCTAGGGAGCCTCTAGGGAAGGAGGAGACCTTATCCGAAGGCGGCGGGGCTTCTCGAAGGCCTCCTGAGGGGTTCTCTCGGCGTCTTCGGGGAAGGTTTTTTTGACAACTTCTAAGAGGGCCTCGGGGTCTTCGAGCCTTCCGAGAAGGTCTGGCCCCCTCACTCACTACAGTCGTGGCGCTGCAGAAGCAACCCTTCTCGTAGGGGCTCGGTGTTCCTGGATTGTTTTGCAGTTTGCCTTAGTGGCAAATCGAGGTTCAACTGATGGGAAACATGGGCCTCGTTCCTTATTTGGGGTTCCTTAGGTCAACGCATCGACGGTACCTCCCTGGGCTCGCCGCCGAAGTTGGTGGCGCAAAACAACGTTGCGGGGTGTCCCCTAGGCCCCGCTGGCGGTTTCAGCAGACCAA